AGCTTTACTTCTATGTGAAAAATAAATGTGGCCACTCTGAAAGCAAGTCCTTCTCTCATCTTATAGCAAACGTTATATTATCGATCAACGTGTGCAGATGTGCATCGGTTCTCCGAGAGATCGGTCTGCTGGATAAAAGTGCTAAAGGATCAGATTAGAGGGGAAAAGGGGGACTGTGGGTCTACTTTTGCAGACGGGTTGAGAGAGTTCGGAGCATCTTCTCTTTGTGCCTTTTCCTGAAGGTCATATTTAATCTGTGTAATCATTTCAGGCTATATTTGCCTGAAGTGGAGTGCTTTGGAGTGCACCTACGCAGCATTTAAAATGTTCCTTGTTGAAGAAAAAAAAAGGTCTGCTCAAAACAACTCTTGAAAAAATGATTTTCTTTCTCTCCGACTCGTATTCTGACATCGGGGAGATTGCCTAATTCTGTCTCTGGCAGCCGAAAACGCCTCCTGATTGAAGACGAGGCTCAGCTTCACGCTCACCGAAGGAGATGGAGCCAGATGTGATTTGGTGTTTTTGAAAATGAACAAAGCAGCTGATGGAAGACACGAGTGTGCAACAGGATTCGCCTGTTGGTGTGTTTTTGACTTCCATTTGTTTGTGTGTGAGCCGGGATTTTCCTATTTATAGTGGAGGGAACAGGTGTTGACAACCTCCCGCCATAAAGGTCGAGGGAGGATGGAAACGGGAGAGCCGTCCGTGCCTCCGAGCTGTCATCCAAACTGTTGGGACAAACTCAATGTCAACAGTTGTGTCTGAGGTGGGAGTCACTGAAATACCCCACCTCTGGTGGGGAGAGTATTTATATCCTCAGATCTACGAGTGGCTGATCCATATCAGCTGTCTAGGTAGGATACAGAACAAACGTGACACGTGAGCACTGCTGATGTCTTCTTTCAGCCATCTCTGCGTGCATCTGTTGATGGAAAATTAGATTTTATTTTTAATTCATTCACATTTTTAAAGGAATGTTCCCATTTATCCTCCATTTCTGAGCTGATTTGTGATTTTGGGATTCGCAAACAACAAATTTGCTGATTTAGAAACGACAAACATTAGTTAGCTGGCGAATAGCTGGTGCTATTTTGGTGAAGAAATGATTTTGTATAACAGCTTATCTTAAACGCCCACAGCAGCAGATGAGCAGCTCGTGGGCGTGAGACCTGGTGATTAGCCCGGCGAATCACGACAGGTCACTTTGGAGAGCATTCTCGCACGGCCGTGGCTGAATGGGCGAGGGGCGTGTGTGAGTGGGAATCATTTGTCTGCACGTGTAGGTAGGCGGCTGCAGAGGAGAGGTGATGTTTGGGCACAGCTACGTACGCGGGTGTGTTTGTGGATCTAAATTTGAACTTGCACGTGTTTTGTTTTGCATCTGCTGAGGGGACAATGTGCTGTGGCACAATGCACGCCTTTAACATTCCTGCTTCACCTGTCGGGGGAACAAAGGCCCTCTTCTCCGGCTGTGACATGTGTGAATCTGCTGCTGGTCAGACGAGATAGCACTCATGTGTAGGACGTGTGTGGGCGGACAGTCTGCACAGTCCTCCCTGACCATCTTCATCTTCACTCTTCCAGGCTGTGTGACTTGGACTTGGAGCTCGGTGGAAAAAGCCGCTGGAGGCGATGGCTGAGCTTTGACTCTTTGATCTGACAAGATGGATTCACCAACCTTGTCAGTGTGAGGGAGCCAAATCAAATTTCAGAATAATAAAAAATGGTGTGGAACTCTGAAATAACATCTTTTAATGATTATTTCTGATTCTAATCAGTCACTCTGAGTGTTTCATGCAGGCTGAACATGAAAATAGTCTCCTACACCGATCTCCTGCATTAACTTCTGATAGAAAACAGACGGTGAAACTCTAGGATCAGAAAATCCTGACAAATCTACGTCACCCTGTCACTTTACAATTATGGAGTCACCCATTTTGACTCACAACGGGGAAGACTGTTGTTGGTTTAGGAAACAGCAGAGAATGTCTCGACTAGTAGAAGCTAACTGTAAGCATTAGCAACTACACCATACAGCAGAACTCCTCCAGACTTGTTATTTGTGGAGATAAAACATCCACCTTGCAAGTCAGTGATAGAGTTGCATTGCTGTTATCCAATCAGAGGCAAAACCGCAGCATTCTGACGCTCTCTGCTGCAGCTGACTTGTCTGTGTTGATTAGGCATTGTTGGGCTTTTTACCCCGAGTACGACTTGCAAGGCATTCATTCCTACCAAAGACCACTGCTAATGTATTGATTAAATGACTAAACCACATGTTGAAATGATCTGAAATACAAATCTCTCTGTGATTTTTTTTTAATTCTCTTTTTGATATGTAAGTTTACTGGACATTATGCCCTTTATATTGACTGAAAGGCAAGGTTTTGGTCATTTTCAGTCATTTTGAAGTCTAATAAATAAATGTAAATAATTGCTATCTAGCTCGCTAAAGATACCATAGGTTCCTGACCTCTATTTAAATAAAAAGTGTTGATTTCCTTCTGGATATATACGTGCACATGTTTTTAAATAAAAGGTCAATTCTGCAGTTATTCACGTGCATCAACACCAGTTTCTATATTTCTGCACAAATAAACAAGTAAGCAATGTTGAAGGTGGTGTAAATGTTTATGAATAATACCTGCACATACAATGACCTTTAGGAGATTTGAGCCATTTACAGACGACAGCAGCACACTCAGACTAGCCGTTAGCTCATCAGTCCTTTAGGACATAAATGTGATTTCTCTGAACTGAGGCCATTCTAAAGTGCTACTTTATAAACTGTCATGGTTTAGAAGAATATGTATGGGAATTCCCAAACATTCCTCCAGCAAGTCATTTTTAAGGTGGACTAGAAGGTCTGGCTCACATTCTCTGGTCTAATTCACCCTAAATCTGCAGGTAAGGCAAGTTCCTCCATGCTGGTGTCTTTACTGAAACACCTGAATGCATCGATAAGAAGTGTCCAAGTACCTGTGGCAACCTCATTAAGTAAGATGGTACTAATTTACAACTTTTACTCAGAAATGCAATTAGAAGGGGAATAAAACTCTCCAACGTGGTTTGGAGCAACCACCAATCTGACTAAAGGGGTATTTAGATGTTATTTATTTATAAGCACATTATAACACATATGAAGCTAAAATTTGTTATGAATAAGATGAATTCAACAAAATGAGCTCTAAAACTGATCCACTGCACTGAAAGCCATCACCTTTTTCAAATAATTACAGAATAATTGATTTATTGCAGTTTTTACAAAGAACTGATCCATCCATCCAACCATCCGTTTTCTTCCACTTATCCGGAGTCGGGTCACAGGGGAGCAGCCTAAGTCGAGAGGTCCAGACTTCCCTTTCCCCAGCAACTTGGGCCAGCTCTTCTGGGGAAATCCCAAGGCGTTCCCTGGCCAGGTGAGAGACGGAGGCCCAATCTCAATACTCGCACTGCGCCCTGCGGTCTTCAGCAAAGTGCACTTGGAGAAAGTGTGCAGTGCGTAGTACACAAGTGTGCAAACAATTGCAGAACTGAGGCAGGGAGCATTGCCTCATCGATCGCAACGCATGCCGGGATGCTGGCCGCTGTGAAACTTTTTTCAAAAACCTTTATTAACAACTTTCAAACAACCAAACAATTATTTGAAATGAATTTTACTTCAGTGGTGCTTTGTCTAAAACATTCAGAGCATCAACTAATAGTCCTAAAATTAACTAATTTAATTGAAAAATACATGTTTAGAAAAGGAAGTTGAGCCTTTTCTCCTGCAGCAATGACTTGTGGGTAATATCCTTGCCCGAGGTCCGCATCGCTGCGGACTTGGGTGAAGTGCAGATTAAGGGTGCAATGGGGGCGTGGTCAACTTCCGCACTTGAGAATCGGGACACCCCACGCACTCGCACCCTTGGCCGGGAACGCACAATTGAAGGGCGCGAGGGTGCAAGTGCGAGTATTGGGATTGGATCTTAGTCCCTCCAGCGTGTCCCTTTAGGCCTCCTCCCGGTTGGACGTGCCCGTAAAACCTCACCAGGGAGGCGTCCAGGAGGCATCCTGACCAGATGCCCGAGCCACCTCAACTGGCTCCTCTCGATGTGGAGGAGCAACGCATCTACTCCGAGCCCCTCCCGGATGACTGAGCTTCTCACCCTATCTCACTCTGCAGAGAAAAGTCATTTTGGCCGCTTGTATCCGCGATCTCGTTCTTTTTGGTCACTACCCAAATCTCATGACCATAGGTGAGGGTCAAAATGAGCTCTAAAGCTGATCCACTGCACTGCAAACCTTCACCGTGTTCAAATAATTACAGAATAACTGATTTATTGCAGTTTTTACAAAGAAATTATGTTTTCATTATTTTTTTAAATAAAAATACAATCGAGCCTTATTTGTTTCTCTAATAATGTAAATATTTTGGGCACATTTGGACTTTTTCTGCAGTTAATTAGAAAAATCTGGTAATGTGGACAATAACTGTTAAACCATTCAAAGTTGTGGCCTTTTTCTACATTTATATAATTTTAATTGACAATGTTTTTTGGCTCTGCGCGGCCTTTCTCATCAAGCAAAAATAGGTTTTATGGATGCAAATGCAGGGATGGAAACAATTTTCCTCGTAGCAACCGAACCAAACTCTCTTTCGCTGCACCGATCAGGCCCGCTGGTTAAAAATAACCATCATTGTTTTCATCCTTTTGCTGTGATGACAACCATCATCCTGTCTCTGCACGGCGTGCAGATTTAAAACCAAAGTACGCTGATTTAAATGTCCATAAAAGCCTGCCGATATAAATCATTGTGGAGGTTGCTGTGTGACAACTTAGACATTGAAGCTTCCCCGCTGGGCCGACTAATTGTTCCACTTCTTCTCTTTGTGCAGAAAGTTCCACGTCGCTCAGACTAATGGTGCAAGAGTGCAGACGTGTACTAACGTGTGAACAATTCAAGCATCACATCTGTCAAATAGAGTTGTCATTCGGACCTGAGGAATGGAGCAGAAGTGAGGCATGCTTTTGGAGTTTATTTCAAATTCAAACACTGAGACACACTTTCAAATTTGTCACTTGTTTTGCTTTTTTTTTAATCTGTCTATCCATGCAGCTGTTTCCTTCTCTCATCCATAACGTGATCCTGCAGAACATCAGGAGAGAGACGGAGGGAGGAGAGGGCTGCACAACCATATCCTGGAGCAAGAGGAGGCTTCTAAAATGAGCTCCATGATGAAAAATGATGAATAATATTCAGGCTAATGACAACGTTTCTGGCAAAACGTGGATTTTTATGCCTGATATAACCTCACATCTAAACAATGCCAGCAACAGATGTCACAAACGTCAACCTCAGCCTGGATCCAGCTTCTGTGGAATCAAATCGACATGTTTGCGGGTTTTATGGAGTTTATTTGACTGTTTTCTCTTAAAGCAACCGCCTATATCTTTTAATATTAAAAACATTCATGGAGATATAGATGAGCTACAGGGAGGTCTACAGTAAAAGTGTGAACTTTATAAGCAAATCCGTGTATGTTGCATGAAACAAAAGCCCTCGGGACGTGGATTCGATGCGTAAAGGCGCGCCGAGCCTAAGTGATGTCCACCAGCTCAGAAGTGAATAATCCGTTTTTTTCATGAGACTAAATATTCTGCAGCCTCAGCTGTGCTCTCACAGCTCGTGTCTTTTGGGGTTTGGGTGCTCGCCCCTCCCCTTGGACCCTTCAGTAAAGGTAGGAGGGTGCCGCTGTGGCAGGAGGAGCTCATGGAGGTGTCCCACGCCCCCGCGCCGCACACGTCTTGATGGTGCCAGGCTGCGTCCTTCGGCTCGCCTTCCTCTGTGCGCAGCGCCATCAGCTCGATCTCGTGCTTGGCCGCGGTCTCCAGCACCTGTTGCTTGTTGTAGAACAAGACGAAGTTGTTGATGATGGGATGTATGGGCAACGCTATGGCGATGACCCCACAAAGGAAGCTGATTGCCGCGTTGCACCGACCTAGCGTGGTTTTGGGGTACACGTCTCCATAGCCCACTGTGGTCATGGTGATCACGGCCCACCAGAACGACTGTGGGATGCTGGTGAACAGCGTGTCCGGGTGGTTCTGCTCCATAGTGTAGCCCAGAGCAGAGAAAAGGAAGACCCCCACGCCCATGTACATGAGTAGAAGTCCGAGTTCCTTCAGGCTGCTCTTCAGGGCAGAGGTGAGGGTCTGGAGTCCGGAGGAATGGCGCGCTAGCTTGAAAATGCGCGCAATGCGCATTATGCGTAAAGCCTGGACGGCCTGCTGCACGTTGGCCAGCTCCATCACTCCCGCTCCAATGGAGGTAAGAATCAGGACCACAAAGAAAGGCATGATGGCCATGAAGTCGATTATGTTCATGAAAGACAGGACGAATTTGATTTTATTCGGGGAGGAGATCAGGCGAAGGAGGTACTCGATGGTGAACCAGCCGATGCACACCGTCTCGATGACCTCAAGAGTTGGATGCTCGGTGAGGTTCCCCTCCGAGTCTTCCACCTGGAGATCGGGGATCGTCCCGACACACATCACCACGGAGGAGATGAGGATGAAGATGAAAGAAACTATAGCGATGACGTGCGCAGAGAGCGAAGACTCCGGCTTCTCCATCAGCCTCCAGAGGGAAATCTGGAAGCGCTGCCAGCTTCCTGCGGACGGATCTCCCTCTCGGTCCACCAGGATAGTCCTCACCCTCTCGGCTATTTCTGCGAGTTCATCCTCCACCTCCTTCAAGTGGCTTTTACAGCATTCATCAAGGAAATCCGAGCCGATCTTCCAGAAGTCCATCTCCTTCATGAAGCACATCGGGCAGATTCCTCTCTTCATGTGGATCTCTCCATAATAATACAACTCAATGATGCATTTAAACGCTTCAGGGTCTCTGTCGAAGTAAAACTCCCCAGTGTCGGGGTCATAGTCGTCACATAAGGAGGAGATTTCCTCTGGAGACGTGAGGGAGCAGTCCACCAGCTCTGCCAGTCGGGTGTCCGGGTAGCGGTTCAACACGTCCCCATAAAGCGCCTGTTTCACCCCGCCGATGTTCACCACGATCTCCACCTCCTCACTGGCCTCGGAGCCGTTACAGTCCGCGTACCGAGTCCTCTGGATCCCCCACATGATCCCGACAAAACCCACCAAATAGGGTTTGCACAAATGTCCACCGGAGAAGCACCCCACAGTCAAAATCTACCCAACTCTGTGTTCTGGTTTTAAAAAAATCAAATAAATGGTTTTCTCATCCGTGACTGCAGCGTAAAGTCCCGGGTTTGGCAGCAAACAGTGCGCCTGTGCGCTCCGAGAAAGTTGGCATCGAAGTGCGCCTGCTGTCAAGCCCGACGGGTAAAAAGAAAAGCACTTCCGGGCAGGATTTTCAACATAAAACATTCATTGGGCGCATTTCAGACATGTGAAGATTGAAATCTGATTACCAGGAAAGCACGCGAGTGCGTTTATAGTGTTGAAATGTAAAAAAATCATGCCTAGAAAATATGACGGTAAGAATTATAGGTGAAAACTGGTCATTTTTAGAACTTTATAACCACACTCCTGATGTTTTCATCTAATTCGCTTTATTTTTAAAGTCCGACTCACCAGTTTCTGGTTAGTGACACTTGACGCGTCTGATTACGCTGTTTGTGGACGCAGCGCAATGCAGCCAGGTGCAACCCATAAAGGAGAAGAGAAATCCTAGAATGAGTTTTATATGTGAGTTTATACAGAATTACCATTTAAAGGTCAGCCAGCTTTAAAAGCTCCCTGTTTTACCTGTTCAACAAGTTTGAGTTCATCTTTGTTAATCTTAATCTCAGAGCAACAGCTGCCCGATTCAAAAAGCTGAGGACGTATTTGGAATTAATATCAAATAAAACTTGATAATTATGAGGTTTTTTACCTCAAAATCCAGACATTGTTACTGGAATCTCTCTTGAGATTCACCATGAAGTCCTTATAATTTACCTGATTTGCTTTAAACGTTTCTAATTAGAATATAAAACACCTTTATTATCCCCCAGTTGTAAGTTTTTATCGAAATATTTACTTCAATTTATAAAACAAATACACGAAAGGGTGTTGTTTTGCCTAAATAAATAGTTTCGCTGTTTATCTAATTCATTCATGGGGCGCGTAAGAAGTCAGACTGCGGGGTTTGTCTCCCTCTGGTGGCGATATCTTGTCATACAGGCTGACTTGTTTTGCCTGCAATAAACAGAAGACCAATAAAAAAGTGATTAATTGTAACTAATATATACGGGTTTAACACGAAGCTAGAAAATGATCATTTATTTTTGACAATTGAAAAGAAAATATCTAGCTGGTTAAATAAATTTCCAAATGCAAAAATATTACTAGGTGGAGACTTTAACTGTATTATGGATGCTGAATTAGATAAATTTCCTCCAGGACATTCGAACAGAATTAATACCACATTGAAGGCTGTTATGGTACGCCTGACACTCACAGACATTTGGAGATTCAAATATCCTCAGTCCAGAATGTTTACTTGGTGCAACAATTCTAATTCGAGACATTCAAGGATAGACTATTGGTTAGTTTCAGAGAGCTTTGACAGTAATAGCATAAATGTAGGTGCTTGGCCTTCTCCAGCAACAGATCATAAAGCCATATATATTAAAATAAATCTAAATTCTCTATCTAATTCTTCTGTTGTTAAATTTACATACTGGAAACTCAACAGCTCATTATTACAAAAAGACTATGTGAAAAAGGAGCTTAAAGGACTGATCTCAAACTTTTGGTCTATAGCTCAAGAAGATTTAAAGTATGGAAATAACTGAGAATTATTAAAATTTGAAATTGGCAAATATTTAAGGAAGTTTGGCAGCCTTTATGCAAAATCCAAAAGATTAGAGGAAGAAAGTATAATCTCTCATATCACACAGTTATCTAATAAACAAATTGACACTTTAACTGAAGAGGATAAATTGAACCTTGCTAAATTACAAGATAAATTAGATCGTTTATACACAGACAAAGCAGAAAGAGCTTTTATCAGATCAAGATCTAAATGGCTTGAAGACGGTGAGCGTAATTCCCATTATTTCTTCAGTTTAGAAAAGAAACACTCAAACATAAATAATGTTAGCAAATTAATGATAAATGGTGTTATAACAGAAGATTACAGATCAATCTCTGAATATTGTAGTCATTTCTATAAGGAACTTTATAGCTCTACATTTTCCCAGGAAGCTGCAGATCATCTCTTAGAATCGCTGAATGTTAAATCCATCAGCCAAGAAGACTCTATATTATGTGATCAACCCATCTCATTAGAAGAAGTCAAAGTTGCAATTGGGCTATTAAAAAATAATAAATCTCCAGGTACGGATGGTCTTACTGCTGAATTATATAAAACTTTTTCTGAAGAGTTGTCTCCCTTTCTTCTTAAGGTATTTGCAGAAAGCATAGGAAATCAACAGCATCCCATTACGATGAATCAAGGTTAGACTACGTTGATTCCGAAGCCTAATAAGGACCTATTATTGATCGATAATTGGAGACCAATTAGCTTGCTAAATAATGATTATAAAGTTTTTGCTCTAATTATAGTTAACAGACTTAAGATGGTTCTTGACTCTCTTATTGAGGAAACACAATCTGGCTTTAAGCCCAAAAGACACATAACTAACAATATCAGATTGGTTTTAGATATTGTGGATTATTCTGACCTCATAACTTGCAATGGTTTCATATTATTTTTAGACTTCTACAAGGCCTTTGATACAGTGGAGCATGATTTTATATTTCAAGCTCTGGATAAGTATGGTTTGGCTCTTACTTATCTACAGCGATTAAAACATTATACCATAACAGTAACAGCAGTATTAAATTAACAAACGGTACTTCACCCAGATTTAACGTACAAAGAGGGATAAGACAAGGCTGTCCCATTTCTCCGTACCTGTTTTTGTTAATTGCCCAACTATTGTCTAACCATATGAAAACAAGCAATGTAAAAGGTATATTGCTAATTGGCAAAGATTTACTCATAACACAGTTAGCGGATGACACTACATTATTCCTAAAAGATGAACATCAAATCTCTATTGCTATTGAAACAATCTCCATATTTTCCAAAGCTTCCGGATTGTACTTGAATATTCCTAAATGTGAACTTATGGCGATTAAAAGACTGTTCGAAAACAACTATGTGTGGCATTCCAATAAAACAAGAAGTTAGTTATTTAGGTATCATAATAACCAAAAATCAGGAAAGTAGAATCACTCAAAATTTCTATCCTATTCTAGAGAAACTCAAACGCAGACTTAATCAGTGGCTCTTAAACCTGTCGTTGAAAGGTGAAAGGCAGAGTATTAATAACTAAAGCAGAAGGCATTTCTCATCTTACATACGCTTCATTGGCATTGCGCCTTGATAAAAAAACTCTTAAAAGAGATTTATAAGTTACTTTTCAACTTTATCTGGAAAAATAGGACACACTAGTTCTTATGAACTCATATGTCAATGGAGGACTTAATGTTTTAGATTTTAACACTTTAAATAACACATTCAAAATAAATTGGTTAAAGAATCTAATTACTAATCCTACTTCCATTTGGAATACTATACCTGTGTTCATGTTTTCTAAGCTAGATGGCACTGAATTTTTCCTTACCTGTAATTTTGACATTGATAAAATCCCTTCAAAAATCTCTGCTTTTCATCGTCAAGCTTTTTTAGCTTGGACTCTTATTTACAAGCATAACTTTAGTCCACACAGTTATTACATTTGGAAAACAAGGATTTTTTTATTTAGAAGAAAATCTCTGTTCTTAGATAGTTGGTTTGAAATAATATTGTTTTAGTCAACCAATTATTTGATTCAAATGGTACTGTCACGTTCGGTGTTGGTAGGACCCAAAATGCAGGAACCCAAGATGACACGAGGCAGGAGATGATATAAAGTAAAATCATTTTATTAGGATGAATGAAACAAAAATTTATCCAAATGGGCTGGAGCCAAAAAACCAATATATCCAAAAGAGCTGAGCAGGGGATCAAAACACTAGAGACAACACGAGAAGACTGACAGAATTACCACAATGGACCGACACAAGACAAAGACAAGACAGGGCTTAAATAACAGGGAGGAGTAATTAAGGGAACAGGAAGCAGGTGTGTGGAGTGAGGGCTGGACGGAAGGCAGGTGACAATAATTACCTAAATGGGGAAACAAAACCAAAGGAGGATAGATAAACCTAAAAGTACAAATCCTAACTAAAAGGCTGCGGGAAGGACTAACACACACACACACACACACACACACACACACACACACACACACACACACACACAGAGACATAAATAACTCACACACACGACTAGGGAACAACAGGCTGGAGCTGCAACTGGAGGGACAGAGGATAACTAAATGAACACCGGACCTGAGGGAATGATAAAAAGGCCTACAAACAGAAGACACAATGTAGAGACGCAGACAAAGGACACATGAGGGCGCTATGAGACACAGAAGGGAAACTAGAGAGGATGGATAAACATCAGGAGACACATAAAGGAGGGGGCAGACGCAGACCATGACAGGTACACTTTTCTCCTATGAAGAATTTTGTTTACATTTCAAGTTAGCTATAAATCGTCTTGATTACCGTAAATCAGGGGTATACAAATACTATTTAAAAAGGTCCAGTCAGAAAGAATTTTTTTAGCCCAAGGTCCGAAAGATCATTATGTCCGACCTACAATAGTGTGACATGTATTTAAGTATCCTAGCAGTTTTATCAACATCTGCATTATTAATTTGCATATCAAATCAGAAATACTTCAGTGTAATTCAAATACTTATGACATTTATTGTCACTTAAAGTGTTGAACATGTAAATGATTTATTTGGAATGTTCTCTCATTTACTAAATAAAAGTAGAAAAAAGTGTCAACAAGAAAATAACACATGGCAACTGAATCTTCACAAACTACTAACTTCAGAATAAATGTAGAAAAAGCTTAATTTTTTTACATTTTTCCTCTTCACGTGCGAACTAAAAAGTCTTAAAATGATTTTAAAAAATGTGACTTTGCACACATGTAATAACTGAACATATATTTAGGTTAATGTTTTCCACATTTTTACTTAGTGAGAGAAGTGAGCTCTTGCTTGTCCTGCCAACATTTTGAACCTGGGCTTGAATGGAGACAGAGCCATCCTCATGCATGTGTGGAGATGCTCATTGGTGAGCCTGGAACGATATTTGTTTTTTATAATGTTCATTGTGGAGAACGCTGCCTCACAGTTGTGGGTGGAACCAAACATGGTCAGGATGTACAAGGCTACTTTCTTTAGATGTGAGAAAGCTGTCTCAGGAACCATTTGGAGCCAGAATGAGGACGGGTCAGTCCTGGCAGACAGTTCTTTCATGGCCAAGTTTGCTTGGAGGTCAACTAACTCCATCTGAAGATCCCTGGCATTGACCCATTTAAAATGCTGTGTGGCTTCCTTTGAGAAGCTCCTGACATCTGTGATGAGGAATGGGTTCTGAATGAACATGGTGAGCTGCTGGCCAATGCTGAAGCTATCAAAACGATTGCTGAAGTTAGCAATAAGTTTATCAATGAAGACAACAAACGACGAGACATCTCGCTGTCCCTGAACCTGTTCCTGCACTGCTGGGAAGTGGACACAGTCTTCCTGCAAGTCCTCCTTGAACATTTCAAGTTTTCTCTGAAAGGCACGGACAGCTGTCATTAGTTCACAAATGGAATTGTCCTTGCCCTGTAGCCTCAAGTTCAGTTCGTTGAGATGTGAAGTTATATCAACCAAAAAGGCAACATTGTCCATCTGCTTCTCATTTTATAGAAATGTAGACAACTGTGTTGCCTTATGATGTTTTAGCTCTGCCAAAAAAGATGCTACTTCCCTCCTAATGGCCCAAAAGCGTGCTAAAACTCTGCCTTTGCTGAGCCATCTCACATTGTTGTGCAGCAGAAGATCATCAGCATTGGCATCAACTTCTTTGAGGAATTCTCTAAGCATGCGATGCTGGTAGGAAGAGGACGCTCTAAGAAAGTTGATCATTTTCATCACTGAAGTCATCACCTCAGCATGCTCATCTGACAGGGAGGCACAGAGGACAGATTGATGAATAATGCAATGGTAGGTTAAGAGGTCAGGGTTGTCTTTCTTCATTCTTGTTACAGCTCCCTTTTCTCTCCCTATCATAGCAGGGGCTCCATCTGTAGTTATTGAAATCACTTTTGAAGGCTCAATTCCTCTCTTTGCCAACATCTCCATAATGGCCAGGTAGATGTCCTCTCCTGTTGTGCTGGTCTGAAGAGGAGTAATACCCAGCAGGTCTTCATAGAATGCTTTCTGCTCTGCGTAATAAAACCTCACATAAACCAACAGCTGAGCATTATCACACACGTCAGTGGACTCATCCACAGCCAAACCTACACATGGTGCTTTCTGTATGGCTTCATCTAGCTGGGCTACAACATCCTGAGTCAGTATTTCACTTTTCTTTGTAGCAGATGATGCTGATATGGGGATTTGCTTTATTTTTTCACAAACTTCTTGTTTTTCTTTTCCTTCAGTGTTTCAGCAACTGCTGTCATACACTCTTTGACAACCTCTCCATCAGTAAATGGTTTTTTGTGCTGACCCAAAATCCAAGAAACTCTGAGGGAACTCTCATGGGCTCGTTGCTGAGCAGTGAATGTGTGGCTCAGGATCCTGGTGGACTGTTCATATTGGGCTTTGAGACTACGTATTTTCTCTGATCTTACTTCTGATCTGAGGGGATATGTTTCTTTAAAACATTTGTGTTTTGTCTCATAATGGCGTTTCACATTGCCACTTTTAATAAGTGCCACTGTTTCTGAACATATGAGACAAACAGGTTTTGTGCCACCAGTGGGAAGAACAAAGAGAAATGACTCTGTCCATTATGGATTAAATGCTCTATTTTCGCTGTCCACTTTCCGTTTTTTAGAGGCTGCCATTTCTGCTTTCTCTACTTCTCTCCGTCTCACCCGCCTGAATCTCTCCTTGTCGCCTGTCGCCGCTTTCCTTTTCTCTAACTGAATTCCTCCTCCTTTACACCTGAATCTCTCCTTGTCGCTGCTCTTAGCCTGAATGTCTCCTTCTTTCCACCGCTCTCCGCCTGAATCTCTCGTTTTCTCTGTTCGAATTTCTGCTCTTCGCTGCTCTCCTTCTCTCCGGCGTCTGAACCGTTTATTTTCGCTACGTATCGCCTGTATTTTCTGGCAGGAATAAAACATGTTATTGGCTTGTTGGTGTCACGTGGTCTGACTAAACTCGCGCACAATTGGCCTGTGGGTGTTCGTGGATGCTAGAATACTACCGTAAAGAATGCAATAGCTGCACCGGCCAGAAGCGGTTATAAAATTAGGCGAACTTTATTTTGGCATTAGGCTCGGGTCCACACCAGACAGCATTTCGGTCCGGATCCGGACCCAGGTCCGCCTATTAGTGATCTCTGCTCTACTGCCTCCTGTTGGTTGATTTGGGGACTATAACCCTGCCGCCGGGACGCTCATACTTGCTTGATACTACATTCCACCCGGCCACAATAAGAGACCGGCCATTATTTACCTCAACTGACTCTGACACCGGCCACAATTGGAGACCCGGCCTTTAATTGAATACCGGCCTGTATTAGAGGATTTACGGTATACAAAAGTATTTGGTTCAATACCATCAGGGGTTTGTATGCTGTTTAAGAATCTACCTAATATCACTTCATTCCACAGGCCATTGACATCTCCCATACAAAATTTTGTTGGCAAAATTTGCTTTTCTAAGCAATCTAAAAACAACAATAAATCGATCAGAGCTTTATTTCAGAGTACTATAACCATGCTACCATATGTCACTTTCTTCTGGAACCGGTTGTCAGATGGTATTATGTGGAACGAAATTTGGAAACTCCCTAATCAGTTTTTAATTACCAAACAAAATTAAAGATATTTCTTATAAATTAATACACAGAATTTATCCTTCTAAAGATTATCTTCAAAGCAAATTCAAATTAGACATTGACACAAGCTGTAGCTTTTGTAAAACTTCCAAGGAATCTACTATACATCTTTTTTGGTTTTGTAACCTTGTTCAAGATTTTTGGCAGAGTTTATGTGTTTTCATTTCAGAAAATATATTTAAAGGATTTGTACTGTTTTGGAAATATGCTTTGTTTGGTCTGAACAAAAACCAAACACAATTTAACTCTGATAACAGATATATGATTAACCTGTTGATTTTAATGGCTAAATTTCATATTCACAAGTCCAAATGTTTAGGAAGACATCCCTCTTTTTATGTATTCTCCTTTGAACTTGTACAGTATCTTAACTCAATTAAGAACTCCACTAACCCAAAGCTATAAAAACTATTGATGTTTGTGAAAAAATCAAGATCTTTCCATCACTTTATTCTTTGGCTTGATCAGTTACTTCCCCCTACCATATTTCTATTTCTATTGTTGTTTCTGAAAACTGTTATTTGTTTATCTATGCATACAATTTCTTTGTAAGTACAACACCATTTTTGTGGTACTGTTTAATTCCATTTTGTATTGTACTGATGTTTAAATAAAGGTTTATAAAAAATACATAAAAATTGATTCCAAGTAAATGAATGAAAAGTTTATATTACATTAAATCAAAACGCATTCATTCTTTTCTGTTTTACACAAAATGTGTACCTTTTAAAAAAGGTATTGTAATGTTTTATTCGGTGAGTTATGTCGGAAACTGTTTTTTTTTTTTTTTTTTTTTGCTACTTGTGAATATTATTGTTACTATTATTTTATTCATTATTTTGTATTATTGCTTTTGAATAATTAGTTACAACACTTAATTTCCCTCTGGGATTATTAAGGTATAATGTAAGTTGATTTGGATAAAAGCGTCTGCCAAATAAATAAACATAAAAATTAACATAAGGTATTTTTATTTAATTGAATTATTTCCTAAGCAAAACGCCATGACATTTTAACATTAGCATTACTGAAAAGTGACAGGGAAACTCGCTCTAACATTTTTTTCTCTTAATTTAGCTGAAAGCACAAATTTAACATGTAACAGAGCTCAAAATGATGTGTGGAGACAAAATACTGCTAAACCCAGCCAGTACAGTACTACAAACTCAGTTTTTACTGAAACAAGGACGGTAATTGTCTCCCTCCAGTGGCGATAAGCTGTAACTACATTGTAATGCTTTTCTTGTTTGCTGTTTTCTGAAAAGTCATTGATCTTTTTCATGATTCATTATATTATTTTGTTTTACTCACTGATGTTTTAAAGAAAATGCACAAATAAAAACAAATAACTATTAAAGTCCTCTGAATCTGCTACAAGATGTCTATTTAGGTTAACCGCATTTATGTACACAATTTTTAAAAAACTAATTTATACATTTAAATGTAAAATGGTAAATTGTATTTTATGCATTAAAAAATAATCAGTCAGTACATTTTAAGGATGAGTCAGTCCTGTTTTATCTTTTGATGCAGTTGCTGCTTCCGTCCTCTCCTCCGTGATACTACACGGCGTACGCTGATTGGTTGGATTTCGGCGTCACCTGCAGTGGACCAATCATCGTGGGCCACGGTGAGATTTTGTTCCTGATGTATTTGTGTGGGGACCGCAGCAGTGCTACCAGTCTGTGTTTTTCAACTGAGAAGACCGGGAGGGAGCAATCGAAACCATGAGACCTCTTTTACTCGGTGAGTTGTCTTAGAAACTTATTTTTAATTTTAAGAAATATAAATATTGAATATTCGTTAACAGTGTGTTTATCTGAGTACGCTTAGCTAATGTAGTTAGCTTGTTTGGCTAAGTTTTTGTGCAAGGGGGCAGGCCTCCGTTATCAATGAATTCATATAAATTAATTTCACATCAGAAAAACTCTTAATGTCCTAAAAGTATATATTTTAGTTTGTTGGATTAAATTAATCACGCATACTTTTCTGAGAGCCTCATAATGGATGTTGTCTTCCAGGAGTGCTGGGCTGCTCTTTGGTCCTGTCTGTCCACGCCATGTACTCATCCAGTGATGATGTTATCGAGCTTACACCCTCCAACTTCAACAGGGAGGTGATCCAGAGCGACAGTCTGTGGCTGGTGGAGTTTTACGCTCCCTGGTGAGTCTAGTTCAACAGCAGCATCCTGCTGCAAGCTGGACAAATGCTTTATGGCTCAGAGACTTTTACCTGTTGAAACTTTGGGATTAAAGTAGATCGCATGGTGTCGAACTTCAAGTTTATTTATAAAGCGCCAAATCACGACAAGGGTCGTCTCGAGACACTTCACACAGTAAACATTCCAATACCGGTCAGTTCTTTAAGCCAATCAGAAAAAATGTTTCCTATTTAAGGAACCCAGCAAATTGCATCAAGTCACTGACGAGTGGCAGTGACTTTACAGCAATCCTCATACTAAGCAAGCATTTAGTGACAGTGGAGAGGAAAACTCCCTTTTAACAGGAAGAAACCTCCAGAGGATCCTGGCTCAGTATAAGCAGCCATCCTCCACAACTCACTGGGGATGGAGAAGATACACACACACACACGCTATGGTTATGTAACACTCTGGATGAGCTGAATGTTACTCTACTCGAGGGTCATGGGTGGAGAGAGAGAGTGAAGAAACGTCTTCATCAGAGCTGCAGCCATAACTTTATTAACAGTTTTTTTTCCTCCCCGCTAACTCTCCACTGACCGAACAGCACCCTCTCTCGGGTGTATCACTCCACCAGAGACACTCACCAGACACAAACAATATCAAACAATAAATCTCATCCTACACTCTTCCCTCTCTTTAAATGAAATATCCTCATTTCAGTCCTAGAAAAACAATAAATCTCATCCTAAAATAAAATGGAGGATCAATAAAAAAAAGGAATGCTTTCCAAACAAAGCATGCAACCGTGACATCAGAGCTTTTTTTTTTTCAACTCAATACAAGGGTCTCACAGCATTAAATGCTTTGGCCTGCGAACCACGCGACCTGAACGAGTCGTGCATGACCCTTGCTGTGCCGGCACCACAGGAGCGGACTGCGCCTCCGAGGGTCTGCATCGTACAGGTACAGATGGGTGAGAAGGAGCCACACCCTGCCCCAGGTCAGGATGTCCAAAGTGTAGGGGAAGGGAACCTGACAATGCAGTATACCGTGGAACACTGTACACAGGTTGTAAACCTTCAGGCCGATCGACGTATGTGTCTGATCCCTTCCAAGTAGCTCGGTATGGTTTTAGGCAATCATAGTGAATGACTTTAAGGTCAGGCCCGGGTCGCCTCAAATCCAGTAGCCTGTAAATCCGTCCATCATTGTGAGGAAATGACCCGATGAGGCCCCGTCCAGTTTGGTTCCAGTTTCTTTCTCTGTGCTGTGGGATCGCCCATCCACACGAGATCACCACATTCATATGGCTTGAATCTCGAATGTCTGTCATAATAATACTCATGCCTGAGCCTCTGGTCCTCTCGATGAAAGTGAAGGGCCTTGAATGCCGCATCCAGACGACTCACCGGCTCTGCGCCGTAGTTCTGAGGAGTCAATTGCAAACCCGGTGTGGACAGAGACACAGCGGCAGGTAGACGGGGTTCCCGGCCGTGGACCAGAAAGTAAGGGGAATAACCAGTGCTTGAATGAGGCGTGGAATTAAAGGAGAGAACCACAGCTGGCAAGAAGTGATCCCATTCTCCACCAAACTGGTGAATGAGTTTCGCTAGCTGTTCCTTTAACGTCCTATTAAACCGCTCATCCATCCCATTTCCACGAGGATGATATGGTGAGGTTCTTTTTTTCTTGATCTGAAGCCTTTTGCAGACTGTCTGTATAGTTTCGGATTCAAACTGCCGTCCCTGATCTGAAAACGGTTCTTCCGGAACCCCATGCTCAGGAATGAAACGTTCACACGGGAGCTCTGCAACGGCCTGTACTCTCTGATCCTGCACTGGAAACACATTCACATATTTTGTTAAATGATCCTGCACTACCTTCGAGGTGAGGGGCAGTTCGGTGATGTCTGTGCATACAAACTAGAAAGGCCTGTATGGACTGTAGGGGGGCCCTGTTCTGTGGAACTGGTTTCCTATAAGCTTCACATGTGAGGCATACAGAGCAGAACTGGTCAATATCAGATCTCATACTTGGCCAATAGCACCCCATCCAGTCTCTTTGGGGGCGTGGGTTCGGATCCCACCGCTGCCACCAGTGTAACACTCTGGATGAGCTGAATGTTACTCTACTCGAGGGTCATGGGTGGAGAGAGAGAGAGAGCGAGAGAACGACACGGGGAAACGTCTTCATCAGAGCTGCAGCCATAACTTTATTAACCGTTATTTTTTTTTCTCCCCGCTAACTCTCCACTGACCGAACAGCACCCCCTCTTGGGTGTATCACTCCGCCAGAGACATTCACCAGACACAAACAATATGAAACAGTTACATTGTGATGTCTTAGTAAATATTCTTTTTTGTAAGAGATAAAGTTTATTTTATTTATCCTAGTGAATCTATAATTAAACAGGTAAATTAGTAGTAGCACTCCGATACCTTAGCTCAGAATGGCCCCCTATTTCTTTTTAAAGCACAATAAAATGTCATTCCTGGTTATAAAGTGGTTTATCCTTCTGGTTTACTTTGGTTTATCGTTCACAACTTGTTTTCTTTTGTTTCTCCTCACAGGTGTGGCCACTGTCAAAGTCTGGCTCCAGAGTGGAAAAAGGCAGCTACAGCCCTCAAGGTAAACATAACAGCACTTATACTTTAAATTACAAAGATGATGAAGAGAAACATTCACACTGATGCATTGTTTGAGACATGATCTTAGGTTGGTGTTCAGAACAAACTAGTAAGTTTCTGCTCTTGGGAGTTAAATTTCTACCTTGGAACATGTTTAATGAATAAAAACCAGCAATATCACTAAAAATCAGTCCATTTGAAGGCTTTAACTGTAAAGACATACTGAGCTAATATTTCTGCTGTCAACATAAATTTCCCTTCCTGTTTTAACAAATGAAACAGGAGAAATGTGGCTGTATAACCGGAACGGTGATCAGCATGAAAGCATAAATCGGAGAAATAGATTTTATTTGTCAAATATTTTTGTTCTGTTGAGAGTTCTGGAACAACATCAGGGTCGTGAGACAAAAAGGGAAGTTATTTTTATGTGAAGACAAAAATCAAACTTTACTAGATGAACTGCCTTTCTAGAAGAAATGCAGTTTGAATGCTGCCTGCTGAATTTTCTAAACACAGCATAGCTTTTTTAAGCTGACAGGTTTCAGCTAACACATTTGGCCCCAGTGTTGCCAACTGTTTTTGACTGAAAGTAGCTGAACCCCCCCCCCCCCCCCCCCCAAGTCGCTAGATGTCGCCAGATGACATCACGTGCAAATTTACATATTGATGACATCATCACATCACATTGGCGTTCATTTTCCCCATAGCATCTAAAAGATATATATATATATATATATATTCGGGATGTAAGAAAATATCGATATGGCAATATATCGTGATATTCTTTCCAGCAATATTATATTGATATCAGGGGTGGACCTTTAAAGCGCCCGAGCGCCAATGGCGCTAAATTTTCTTGTCGGGCGGTAAATACTTGACGACTTACCGCCCGGGTGGCGCCCAAGCTTTATTTGTCATTTACACACCGGCTTTCACCTACATCATGGCCCCGCCCTGTAGGAAGCTGCCGTTTTCGTTTCGCGCGCGTGAACCTGCGCGCCTCTGTGCACGTACTGCACGATTCTAGTTATAGTCACGTGAACTATAAGTTCACTATTAAAGACAAAGTGGAACCACGCTAGAAACACACAAGCACGCAGGAAGATGGCGCCACCACAGGGATTGGATTTCTTGATGAAATCTCCGGCAAAACGCTTTAAAACTGGTGAGGAGAAGCGAGACAGTTCGAAACGGTATGAAGCAGAGAAGTGTGCGTAGGTAGAATGATTCTTGGCGTTTTAAAGAAGACGGGAGGTGCAGAGAATGGCCGTGTTCGAGTTGAGCAGCGCATCGCCTGGAAAACAGACGAGAGCAGACGGAAGCAGCAGGGGGAGGGGCTGAAAGCCGGCGTTTAACGTCGGGGACACACCGGCCGCGGAAGCGCCCGAAGCGCTGAGAAGCGAATTGCTCACGAAATCCGGCCGCTGCTCGCCGCTCCTCAGTTCAGATCAGACGCGCCCCATTCGAGGCACGCCTCGGCTCAGCTGTAGTTTCTCTTTTAACTACTTGATGTCCTCCATTTCCTCTCTGCCTTTCGTGTGTGTGTGTGTGTGTGTGTGTGTGTGTGTGTGTGTGTGTGTGTGTGTGTGTGTGTGTGTGTGTGTGTGTGTGTGTGTGTGTGTGTGTGTGTGTGTGTGTGTGTGTGTGTGTGTGTGTGTGTGTGTGTGTGTGTGTGTGTGTGAGCGCAACTGAAACAAACAAATTCAAACTTGAATACGTTATTATGTTTGTGAATGTGTACAAAATAAAGGTTTATTACATTTAAGACGGTTCAGTTGTTATTTTGACTCATTTTGGCAGCTGACCAGCGGGGCCGGTAGATTCTTGGCGGGGCCGGTAAATATTCAGAGTTACCGGCCCGGCTGGCCGGTTGGTTTTGAAGTTAATGTCCACCCCTGGATATTCAAAAGCCGTGTGTTGGAAATATCAATATGGCAATATATCGTGATATTTTTTCCTGCGATTATTACATCGATATTCAAAAGCCGTGTATCGAATTCTTGAAATAATTTACATGCAAACATTTGTGTATTTTCTTTTCATTTTGTGCAATTCAATCGCCAACCGCTAGTTGGCAGCAGTGTGCAACGAGTTTTGTTTCCGCCGTTGAAATGTAAATCCCTCCATCATGGTTCAGATACCTCATGTTAAACACGTTACGTATCAGTTTGGACTGTTTATTGAACATTCTTACAAAAAATTCAGTAAAAAAATTGCTTGTAACGTCTGACTGAATGTCTGACTGAATGTATCGCAATATATCGTATCGTCTCCCCTCTATAGTGATATGCATCATATCGCCAGAATTTCAAAAATACACATCCCTTATATATATTATATTAGGACTAATAGGGAGGAAAATAAAAACTGTTATGTGTTAAAGTTATTAATTAGTATGATTAAAATGGCCCAAATTGCTTTAATATGTACAATAAATTCCAAAAGTATCAAAGTGACATTTAGACGGATATGGTGTGGTGATCCAAACAGTTCTGTTGTAGGATATACCTCAGACCTCATGCTCTCCTCATTCTCTCAGACATTTTCCTAAAAAGCAGTTTTTTTACACCTCATAGTTTCTCAACTTCTCTGTTGTGTATTCTCTCCATCGTGATAATAACGGCGCACCGAGCAAAAGGGAGCGGGTGTCTCATAGTATAACCATCCCTGTGTCACTGAAGGAAATTCAGATGAGCCACAGAGCTGTGTGTGTAAACGGGACGGTAGTTGAAACTCCCGTTGACTTTATTTGCCAAATGCAGGAAAAGCCAAAGTGTCTGATGGCTGCAGAACCAGAGATCGCAGGTTGACGCCTGTGCCATCTCTAGTGGAAGCGTGAGGCTGCAGCAGCAGCAGACGTAAATCGGCGTTCTCCAGCACTGCAACCCTACCTTTGTCTTCGGCGAATCAGCCCGGCCGAAAACGGTTTGATTGGTCAGTCCTCGTGCACATGTGCAGATTATCGTTCTCTTTCCTTACTCCCGGAAGAACGGTTCAGAGTGCAAATGGTTTTTGTTGCTAATCTGTAGGGAATATCTACAAGAAAGTTCTACAGAAAGTAGCAACGGGTCCTGAGAAATGTCGCTAGGCGCTTTTTGGAAAAAGTCGTTGAGGGGGGTCAAAAAGTCGTTAGGAACAGTGACAAAGTCGCTGAGTTGGCAACACTGTTTGGCCCTCTGCGTTTGGAGAATGAAGTGATGCCACCAACATCGACGGTGCTCTAAAGGAGGCTACGGTGTTGGCCGAAACTTGTCCGCTTAAAAGGTGTAGCGTAGGAGAAGGCCATGTTATGCAAAGGCTATGATCAGTGGGCAGATTGTTGACAATTGTCATAATCTCTACGCTACAAAGGTAAAAACAAATCTTAGCCACAGAAACCAAGCAATGGAATTGGGGTGAGGCCACAAAAATCATGATACAACACACTTTCCACGGCAGAGTCGGTCAAACATGTGTGGGGATGCATGCTGCCATTCGAGCCGCACTAATTAAAATAAGTAAATATTTCAATGGGCTGAAATATTGCAGAAAAATCTTAAAAAATAGTAGATGTCGATACCAAAAGTGATCGTTTTTATACCAAATTTGCTAAAATAGCTGAAAATTTGAAGGAGCTGAAACTAGGTATGGACATTATATCTGCATCAATATCGGTATTGGCCGATAGTCATTTTTTAACATATCGGTCCGATAAATAAAACCAGGCCAATAATAACAACCAATATTTTTTCCATATTGTCTCCATTTGTTTGCCTGTTTCAGAGGGTGTGTGTGTTGGGGGGGGGGGGGGGGGGGGGGTGATGTGTAATTGTTTAGTCATGTGACCGTGAACATAATCACGGAAGCGTAAATGTGTGTGGCGTGTGTGTGTACATAACGTAAATTCTGCTTTAATAATTTTCATTTTATGCAAAATTGCTGATTTTAGAAGCATTAATGTCAGTATATCGGTATCGGCAAATATCGGTCATCAGTCATAACAGTGATCCTAATATCGGTATCGGCCCAAAAATTTCATATGTGTGCATCACTAACTGAAACGGTTAAACTCTACAGAAGCAGAATAATAAAGAGACAGGAATACTATAGTGGATGCTGATGCAGCATTCAAATATTAAAGTCCTCTTAAAGCTTCATTTCATCTGAATAGTTGTCAAACTGTTAAGACACAAATAAAGGAAGACCATAGCATAATCAACCGATTAAAGATTTAAATAAATGAATGCCTGTTTGGCCGAACACGTTCAAAAGAGCTGCATTATGTTTGAAATCTAAACAAAGAGGTGCTCTGATTTCCTTTTGAACCCTGATCATTCAAACAGCCGTCTTCTGTCTTTGTCCATCTTTCAGGGCATCGTTAAGGTCGGTGCCGTCGACGCTGACCAGCATAAGTCACTGGGAGGCCAGTATGGCGTCAGAGGGTTCCCCACCATCAAGATCTTTGGAGCCAATAAAAACAAACCAGAGGAGTACCAAGGTACAAATGATGTCACTCCAGATGATTTTATTTATTTATTTTTAGGGATGCACCGATACTGGTATCGTTATCGGTGCCAATACCAATACCAATGCCTGTATCGGTAAAAGTTAACCAATACCAGGAACCGATACCAATGCAGTTGCTTGAAAATGGCTTCACTGTAACTTGTCATTTCTGTTCACCTAATATTTTAGTTTTGTGATGATTTCCATTCATATATTTTACTTTTTATCTACCTCAGTCTTTTCCTGTTGAAAGCAGAGAAGAAAATAAAATCTGTATTCCAAATCATTGCATTTTTTTTGTGTGGTGGAAGTATTGGTATCAGTAATCGCCATCGGCGAGTGCTCAGATCCAAGTATCGGTATGGTATCAGTTTGGAAAAAAGAGGTATCGGTGCATCCCTATTTATTTTTATTTTATTTTTTGCTGAAATCTTGATTTTATACAATGTCTGGAAAAAGCTAAATCATGTTTATAAACTGTAATAACAATAATAGTTAACACCTTCAGGGGGACGCAGTAGCCAGGCCATTGTGGATGGAGCAATGAATGCTTTGCGTACGCTTGTGAAAGAGCGGCTGAGTGGCAAATCTGGTGGCTCTGGCTACAGCAAACAGGTAGAGGAGTTGGTGAACCCGAGAAATGTTTTTTAAGTTGTTGAAACTGTAAAATAATAATTTTGAATTCTGTTCAGCAGAGTGGCGGCGGCGACAAGAAAGACGTGATCGAGCTCACAGATGACAACTTTGACAAGCTGGTGCTGGAGAGTGGAGACGTTTGGATGGTGGAGTTTTTCGCTCCCTGGTGTGGACACTGCAAAAAGTGAGTTTGGTAGCAAACAAACTGTTACCATAGCAACCTATGCAGATTTTAATTGCATAACAAATTAGATTCTGTTGCTGTTTTACAAAAGCTTCTTTCTCTGAATCTCATAAATTTGGTGTTTTTAAGCATTAAAAATGAATTTGTTCTTAAAACAATAATAAATCTATCCTTAATTTAGATTTTTATTCTGTGGAAAGCATTCATGCTACGTTAGTCACAATTCGTCCTCCTTCCTCCAGCCTGGAGCCAGAGTGGACAGCTGCAGCCACAGCTGTGAAGGAGCAGACCAAGGGCAAAGTTCACCTCGGAGCCGTGGACGCTACTGTACACCAGGTTCTAGCTAGCCGCTACGAGGTGAGTGCAAACGGATTAGACGGTAACTATTGCAAACAGAAAAGGCTGGTTTTGTTAAAAGTTGGGATGTTGTATTGCACTAATATGCAAATCTACTGCTGCAGTCATTCTGTCATGGAAGTATCAAACAAATCACTAAAAAAAGCTAATGTTGAGCTAAAAGGTTGAGTAGCTTCTGTGATCTGAGGTAAAATGATGATTTTCTTTGGAAAACACTTAATTACGCAATTTAAATGGTTTTGTATCTTTGGTGTCTCCACATCAGGTGCTACAATTTTACTGTAGTAAAAAAACTGATTTTTATGAAGTTAATAAACTAGGAAATGGTTACAATGCCATAAATGCAAATCTTCGTCCAGGTTTGATCGATTCTTGCTCCACGTCACCCATCTGAAACTGGAATTTCAGGAATCTTTTCGTGTTTTTAGATCCGTGGATTTCCCACAATCAAAATTTTCCGCAAAGGGGAGGAGCCAGAGGTCTACCAGGGAGGTCGCTCTCGTGGAGACATCATTGAGAAAGCACTGGACCTGTTCTCGGACAACGCTGCTCCTCCTGAGCTGCTGGAGGTCAGTGGGAATGTTCAGAACTTTTAGACGTTTCTTTTCTGCAGCAGCTGAAGATAAGTTTACAGTGACGCATTAAAATGAGTCATTTTGTGAACTATATTCAAAGTTTGTGGGGTTTTCCTCAGATCCTTAATGAAGACATCCTGAAGAACACCTGTGAGGACAGTCAGCTGTGTATAATTGGCGTCCTGCCTCACATCCTGGACACGGGTGAGACCACACACATCTAACTTTGAATTCAGAATTATAAATAAGAGGTTTTTGTTTTTAATGGTGACATTACCTGTTTTTTGTTCCTCACCAGGTGCTGCTGGTAGAAACGGATACCTGGAAGTGATGATGAAGATGGCTGATAAGTATAAGAAGAAGTCATGGGGGTAAGTACTTGAGTCTGATCCTTCTGGGTTTTAAATCCTACGTTAGATTTTAATGATGTCTCCTACCAGCTGGCTCTGGACGGAGGCGGGCGCTCAGATGGAGCTGGAGGCCTCTCTGGGTATCGGTGGGTTTGGCTACCCTGCCATGGCGGCCATCAACGCACGCAAGATGAAATTTGCTCTCCTTCGAGGCTCTTTCAGCGAGACTGGCATTCACGAATTCCTCCGGTAGGGGTGCTGTTGGTCTGATTTGTTTACGTGTGGAGAATTTACACAGAAGAACAGATGGTGATGACACCTGTGTTTTCAGGGAGCTTTCTGTTGGCCGTGGATCGACCGCTACGCTGGGAGGTGGCACCATGCCCAAGATTAACACTGTGGAAGCCTGGGATGGCAAAGATGGACAGGTGAGGGGGGGCGATGTCTCAAGCTGAAGGTTTGTAGGGAACACTTTCCAACATCCCTCTCCATGTCACCCTCAGCTTCCTGTGGAGGAGGAATATGACCTGAGTGATGTAGACCTGGATGACGACTTTGGGAAGGATGAGTTATGAGTCCGAATCACTTAGGATCTGACCCAGGCTGACTCGGTTGGGTCTGGTGCTGTTTGGTCCCACCTTCCCTCTCCTGGACGAATCAGACACCGTCGCTCAGTTACTGAAGAAAAGACATCAGACATCTGCAGTTTTTCTACATCATAAATCTGTCCCACAGAGACAGGAGGGAGGGGACCCGTGTCCCCGCGGTGAATTCACTTTCATAAACCTGCTGAACGTTGGAGAAGCTGGATATTTATAAAGCTGCCACCAGCTGAGGTGAGGACGTTCCCTCTCCCCTCCTCAGCTGCCTTAAAGCACCTGTTTTAGGACGTGGACTTGTGAAAGTAACAACCTGATATGATTTCTGTCTTTGAGAAGCGGCCTGTGAGGATCTTGGTGGATTTGTCATGTCTGTTCAGGATACGGGGATTCTACGGGACTTGTGTAGATTTTTCTTACACGATTTTATTTCAACTGTGTGAAAACAAAATTACATTTTTGTTACAAAAATAAAAGAATAAAAACAATCACAGCCTCCTCATCAACATAATCTCACAATATCTAATAAAACACATCTAGCAGAGTTGTGAGCACATGCAGTGTCAGGTGTGCAGATCTTCAGAAGGACTTCAGCCACAGTTCAACTGTCCAGTTGAATCTAACTCTTACGGGAGTTATTTACTTCCTCTTTTAACATTAGTGACCCCAGTACTTGTAAGGTATCATCCAGTCAATACAAACGCATTATTGGCACTTTACTTGAGTGGAAAGAGTTTTAAAAAGGCACAAAAATAAGGAAAACCAACTCAAAAGCTCATTAAAGTCCACAAAGGAGCCACACTTGTAAGAGAAATATACATCAATGTAAACAGGAGTGTTAAATTGGAGGCTGTGGAACAGTAAAAGGCTGGGTACACGTTGGTGTGTTCAAGGTGTGTGTGTGTTCATGTCCTCAAAACTGATGAGAGGCTCCCTGATCCGACTGCAGCAGTCTGACGATAGACGGGTCGCTCTTGGCACCTTTAATGAACTCCTCCAAAGACAACCTACCTGTGGAGCAGAGAAGCTGTTTCATCAGCAGGAAACTAGCAACTTCAGCAGCAGCTACTCAGAAAAATAAAGCTCTAGCGTCGGATTTCTGGTAATGAACTTGAAAAGTGTGTGACATTTTAAAAATCAAGTCAAGGTACACCTGCCAGACTTTGTGCAAGTTTGTTGTTTTAATTTGCACCAAATTATGTCTGCAGCTGATTTAATGATAAAATGCAGGCTGGCTTTAAATATTTTAAGTATATTTCTTGCAAAAACTTTGCAACACCTGTAAAAACTATGAATATATGTTGATGCATGCTACAATTTAAAGCAGAGATCTGGAGTTTCTTCTCAGAGGGCACCATCTAGAGGGGGAACAATGTATTACACCTTAAAGAGCAAGCCACCCTCCTACCAGAGTCTTACTCCACCCACACCTCTGATTTTAAAATGTGCCAAAAGGAGGTGTTTCCAGGCGGACAGAGGGGATAAAAAATGCGGAAACCGAAAATGTGGAAACCAAGACCAAAAACCGAAGCACCAAAATGAATGATTATGTCAGTTATTATAACCATAGCATTTATGGTTACGATGTTTTGGTGATTTAGGACTTTTGGCCGAAAACCATAAATGACCAAAAAGTGTGATGGGGGGGGGTCGGTTTTTGTCCGAAAGTTGGAAATATTTGGTGGTCGAATTTTCAGTGCATCTCTACTAAAAATGATGCATAATTCCTGAAAGGGGGAAATCTCCAGATTGCCGTTTTAAGAACACATGCATCGTTTGTGTTTTAATGGTTTGTAAGTAAGTAAGTAAAGTTTATTTATATAGCGCCTTTCACAGATATATCTCACAAAGCGCTGTACAACGTGAGTAAAATCATGGCAAATACCTCAAAGCAATAAAAACATCATAAAAACAATAGCAGTGACAACAATAGTAAACAAAATCAGGAGTAAAAACAAAGTCAAGGTGTGAACAAGAACAAAGCCATCTTTTAGAATATTTAGCGGGGGAAAGCCTGGATGAAAAGGTGAGTTTTAAGATGTTTTTTGAAGACCTCTACAGATTTCAAGAGACGGAGATTTGAAGGCAGACTGTTCCAAAGTCTGGGGGCAATCGACTGAAAGGCCCTGTCCCCTTTGGTTTTTAGTCTGGTTGGAGGAACAGCCAGGAGGTTTTCAGATGTGGAATAGATTGTAACTAAATAACCTTAAAGCTCTGGTAGTAAGAAAAGGGCTGCAAGGAAAATAACTGTCTGGTGTTTTGTTGCGCTAAACTCTGGTTCATCTACTCTGAATATCTGCTGAGAAAGCACCGTGTGATATTGGTTCTCTGTTGAGTTACTAGTGTTTTATACATTCCCTGCTGCTGCAGCTGGTTTTTCCATCCATGTGATGTCATAAAACCTGTCTGAGGCTCATTGCTGACACAACGTGTGAGAACCTTTTGCTCCAAAGCAAGCTGATGTCAAGCACCAGAATACCAGGTTTCAATATCTGAGAGGTACTACATTAAACCGTAAGACAGAACACACAGATGTAACTTTACTCCCTAAAAGTCAAACCTGCAGCATCGGTGAGAATCTGCAGACAAGAATGCAAACCGCAAGACAGTAAGTGGTGTCTAAAGTCTGGTTTATGTAATGCATCAAGTTTATACTTGTTATATTTAACAGTCTTTGTGTTTATTTTGGTCTGCTGGATCTATTTTAGGCTGCTGCTGCTGTTTAGGTGTGCATCTGTGATGTTAAAAATGACTAAATAAAAGCACTCGCATCTTCTATGTCACATCTAGAAGAGTGAGTTTCCAAAAGCGTGTATTTTTACATGACAGCTGTAGCAGACGCGTCCATCTTTTTCGTTTTTCTGGCAGCTAACCTTTGGTTAGCACCATAACAACAACTAGTGTAACAAGTGGGTGCTCTGACATCACAGTTCTTAAAGGAGTGAGGTCATACCGACCTGTCTGATGAACAATGTCAGGACCGTGTTAGTGGTAGCACATCACACGTCACACCACTCTTACCATCATTATCAATGTCCATCTGCCTGAAGATCTTATCTGTCCTTTTCTCTGGCGTTGATTCGTCCTCCGGCATCTTCATTACTGATGACACCATCTTGTAAATGGCCTGTAAAAGGAGGTGATAATGATAGCAGTCATGTACATCTTTAATCTTGTTGACTGTCTGCACAATTTACTGCTTTCAGGAAGGAAGGATCAATACCAACTGGTCCCATCTAACACCGTACTGTATCCCTCAAAGCTATTGTCTTGGTGACCTGATTTCTGTCGCTACCTGATAACGATGCTCCGATCAATCACCTGCTGGCCCAGAACACACCTATTAGTGAAATTACTCCTAGTATATTCAAGTTCCCAAACTGGTTTTTATGGTACCAAGAGCATGTTGATGGTTTAGTGTAGTTTGTTTCAACATTTATTCGTATCAGCAAACATGACGAGCTGAGGAAACACTGATAGGGCCATGCAGGCTGCCCAGCTCACCATTCTGGAAGAGTAAATACGCCATCAGTGATAAGGAAAACAGCCAAGGGCAGCGTGCAGGGATGGCCCAGATTAAACTCATGAACGCTCGTCTGAAAGTTTTGATTGAACCTAAATCGGCATCATAAAACGCGCACAAGGAATCTTTCAGAATAACGGATTCATAATCAGGAAATTTATCAAAACATGCTGAAAGTAGTATCTATTAAAGATGTAATAAAGTGTTGATACACTAAAATATATCGATATTTTGGGTTATGGTACTGAATCGATATTTTAAGCACTGTGTTGATTTTTATTTTCCGGGGGTTTACATGAAAACATTTACTGTACTTCTTCTGAGTGGTGCAATTCAGACTACAACTGCTAGGTGGCAGCATGTTTTTACTGCCTTTCTTCTGACAGAATGACGAGATTTCACAATAATGCTGGATGTGTTTTGAAAGAGTTTTCCAATTAAATTCAGTCCTAAAAGTTGCAAATATCATCTGGCTTTTAGTATTGTGATATTTTGTATAGTCTCACCCGTATTGTGATATTGCATCGCCTTGCCTGTATTGTGATCTATATTGTATCGCCAGATTCTTGCCAATACACACCTCTAGTTATTTCTCACCTGAACTATCTCCAGCATCTCTGCCCGGCTGATGTAACCATTCCCGTCCAGGTCGTACATGCTGAAGGCCCATCGAAGCTTCTGCTCCAAACCACCACGAGACGTAACGCTCAGTGCGATGATGAACTCCCTGAAGTCAATGGTTGCATCACCATTGGTGTCAAACGTGCGAAAGACGTGCTCGGCAAACTTTGAGGCATCGCCATAGGGGAAGAAGTTGGCGTAGATCTTCTTGAACTCCTCCACGGTCAGGTGGCCTGTGGGGCAGTCCTTCAGGAAACCGCGGTACCACTCCTGCAGTTCGTGATCGGTGAACTCTGTGTTTTCTCTCAGGTCGTTTAGGACCTCAGGCCGCAGCTTGCTGTTCTGTTTCCCCATGATGCGGCGTTTTCCCACGCAGGCAGATAGCTGGGCTTGTGTTTCAACCTTCTCTTCTCACTTTAACCACCCTTCCTGCACTTTTGCTCTCTGTGCCGAAGGCGGCTCTGCTTCCTCTGCTCCTGCAGGGAAACAACAGCTCTCATTAATAGCCTGTGTGAATTTCATAAATGATTTATTTTTGGGTTAAATTATCCATCTCAGCTTTAGCAGCATTTTATTGTAAAACCACAAATTAATTTCTTAAATTGCCAAACTGAGTAAGGAAATCTGGTGTTTGCGGACTATATAGAGTAGAGATAACATCTCTGGCATCATCAGGACATTATAAGTGTGTCAGGTGGGGGGTACCCTGGTCTCCATGGATACAGTAATAACCCTCTGGCACTGTGATAATTCATTGAGCCCTGCCCTGCATGGTAAAGGGACAAGAATCCTGGGGCATCGTAATTCTTAATAAAGCAACTTTCCAAAAGGTCAGGTTGTTGTTACTGACAGGGACAGACATTCACATCCATAATTATCCGCTCCTTCAACAGCTAATCACACTGAATTTAAGCAGGTGGAATTTATTTACAGAGTAAATAGAAAGACAAATGATGACAAAAAAGCATTTGGCCACCTGCACCTATTCACCTTTAGTTTCTGCCGTTTATCTAAATTGTGTTCCCATGGTAACAGTATGTTCTGCAAACTCAGTGTATTTATGTGTGCAGGAGAATTCATATGAGACACATAAACACAACACATCCAGAAAAAAATATTATTATTAAACTGGGCACCTTCATCCACAACCAAGCAAATAAATATATAAAATAAATAATGATAAGTTTTATCCAGAATTAAATCTAAATTGTGTGCACCTCTCTAAACAAAGTGAAACGTTTGAAACTAGCAAATTTCTGCAAAATTTCATGGGAAAAAAATGGATAAAACGAGAGATAATTTTTTACTTGCATCTGGTGGGAAGCAACGAGAGTGGGAAGGAAAAAGTGACGTGTGGGCGTAGGGAAGGAGGAATGGAAAAAGTATGGCACACAGAAGAAAAACGATTTCCAGCTTTACAGTACGAGCCCATTTGCTGATGCCAGAGGTTCAATCACATAATACCCTTCTGAATTACACCTCCACTCCAATAAAATAGAACCCATCGGTCCTTCCTCACTTCCAGAAGATTGGTCGTTTTTGGTGAAGAACAAAAACGAGGGAATTTGAACAATGTTTTTTTTTCTGCACACTAAGTTTTTATTTGTCCCACAGGAATTATTTCATGTTATTGCATTGAGCTCAAAATGGTCTAAAGTACTAACAGGACAACATAAATGCACACAGAACTGCAACAACCTCATCCCAGTTCAGGTAAAATGAGAAAACTTTTTTTATCTTAATAATAAACACTAATTTCTACAGTGGACATTTATTTTGTGGTACTTTTTGGTCATTCATTACATCTTGAGAATAAATTAAAATATGATCAGATTGAAGATGGCCGTTTACCCAGTTTTTGATGGATTTGTTTTGCTTTTATTGAAAATCTGAAGACAAGTAAGACAGCTTGCTGACTATTTCTCTACTCCACACTACATTTCCCCTGGTTTGGTTTTATCTTGGCCAGATAATAAATACCCTGCAGCTCTGTGGGCCTGACCATAGTACTTCCTTTCCAACGTTCAACAGGATGAGGAAGCTTCAGCGACTCTTCAGCTCTGAGTCACATGAACTTTTCCAGGACTGATCGGTGTGCAGTGCTGAGCAGAAACAGACATAAATATGGACGTTACATTTTACCCTCTCAAGCACGCAAAGCGGCAGCAGATTCCATGATGGATAAATGAAGTGTTGCACTGATATTTTAAGAAGCTCTGGAGCTAAATCAAAAATAACCTTCCCACAGGAAAAGAGAGAGTGTACTCTAGCAAAGGGATTGTCATTCATCTGTCCTGGCTTGCTTTCTTTACCTCCTACAGGGACAGTTATTCCCCTCAGCTCATAATTAAAATATGTTGTTCCATTTGTGCTTGGGAAATGTCCTTCCTGTATTCATACAGCCTTGTATAAATTGCCCACAGTTTGATCTATTTTAACATGTGAGGCAGCCATTTAAACCTGCATCTTGCTGCTCGCCATCAAGAACACGCCATCCCAATGACCTCCTTAGCAGGCAGAATCATCCCTTCCCTGTCATGGAAAATTAAGGTTGCAGTAACATTTATGAGGAGTCTGTCCATCGCTTGATACACAGCAGCCCCTCGAGACCAGCTCTGCTCAATTACACAGCAACAGTTTCTCCCCTTGTCCCCAACCCCCACACAGCCATCCCCGGTCTGCACGGCCCAACATTTCCATTGGGTCGCCTTCCCTAATGAGACCATTTCACACAAGCTCCAGTGCTGTGCACCCCCCTCCCCAAGGCTGCTGGAGCGTTCTGTAAACCTCTGATTATTTTTTATTGTTGGTTTTCCATTCTCAGGCCCACCTCATTTCCTGTGTAACGCTGTCACAACAAAGATGTTATTTTTAACCAGATTCTCATTTATTTATGCCAAACAAAGGGGAAAAAAAGATGAGAAAGAAGAGACATGAGGGAATTAATATATTTAGATTGACTTCTGAGGAGTGTGTTTTTGAAACTGTAGGGAGACAAATGCTCTTTGCTAAATTGTAATTGGATCAAAGCCTGGTTCGTTGTAAATTAAGAGGGTAACAGGCCTTTTCTAACGAAGTCATTCCATTGTAATACACAGAAATGTGGTTTGTCTTTCTGGAATAAGTAACGTCTACGTTGCTTTGGATAAAAGTGTCTTCTAAATACAAAAACATAACCAATATGCTACCTAATAAGGTCTCATTTATGTTAGCTAATTGCTCATTTCAGAAGAAATTGTCCTTATGATACTTATTTAATGGTAATGTATCCTCACACCAATACATAAATGCAAGAAGGCTTCTTTAATCCAGAATCACTAACTTATTTGTTGGACCACAAATCCTAAACTTCACACAAGCAGTCCACAAAAGTGCTCGTTTAGGTTTAGTTACCAAATATACACATAGTATACAAATATATACATAGTATCAGTATATTACTTCAATAATTGGCAAGCAATAAAACTTTTAACTTATGACATAATCTCTGAGAGTTTACTTGTTCTTTTAGCCAAAACATCCCAAATGCAAGGTTATAAACCCATTTCCTAAAACAAATATAAAACATTCTGCATGTTAGACAATAGACACGAACATGTTGACGCCCCATTGGGTGCTGGAGAGTGTAACAGCCATATTGGATAGGTTTCTCACTTTCCAAACCCAACTGGAGTCAGTGCAGTGGGCAACGATGCATGTTTTCTATGCAACAACTGGCGTACTACTGAATAAAGATCACGTTGGATTACTATTGACTTTTCTAGCCTACCTGTTGGGATTTTCTAGTTTAATTTCTTTTGTTTTATTATATTTATATGTATGCCAAACCATATGTCTGATATGGTAAAAAAGCATAATAAAAGTGTGTTTTTTAGTTGAGTGAACACCTTCCTCAGTAGAAATAAATGCACTGTGGGCGAATGGGAATCTATCCAAGATGGCAGCCCACTGCTACGCCAGCTCCAATAGGCACAACCGCTCTATGGGGTGTCTACATGTGATGTCTGTCTGTTAGCCAACCACGTACTGCTAAAGAAGTGGAATGCAGCCCTCTTTAACACCTGTGTTTTCCCTACTTTTATAAGTCAATCTGCCAATCATTTGGTCCATTAAAGACACTTTTCAAACTAAATTGATTAATAGGTGGTTTTTGTCTTGTGGCTAATGTTAAGTTAAACACTTTGGTACTCTGGTCAAGTTGTTTCAAAAGTACTTTAATAATAATGAAACAAACAAGAGCATAAAGAAACGGGACGCTATCTTGACTTAAAAATTAAATTCTACGTGTTTATTTCTTTTGATTCAAGTAGTTCTTGAAAAATGCTAAGATTAGTTTACCCGTAATTAATAATTTGATGCTTTAAAACAACTGCATGATTGTGATGCAACAGAAATAGGCAAAGGTGCTACTTTGAATTTTGAGTGTTTTTAGATAAAATCTGGGATTGAAAAAAAAACATGATAATTTCTTGGTATTTAAACTTTGCATTTGCTTTTTTTTTGTTTTTTGTTTTTGTTTGTTTTTTTGTAGCACAACAAATACTTTTATCTTTAAAAAAGCAGCTAATCCTTCTTTGATACTTCAACGCGCACCAAGACTTCTTCAGAGCCAACTTTTAGCCTTATAAATTGTATTAACCACAACCTGGATTACTTAAAACATTTCATATTAACAGTTTCAAACGACAAAATGCGCTTTGTGCTTTCTGCATTCTGCCTTTTTTGTATTTTAGACATCATTTTCAGTACCCAGAGACAAAGCACACTTTCTATTTCGGTGATGTGTTTTGTGGAAGATCAGAGCAGCGCCGTCGTACCTGTGAACCTCTGCCAGCTACAGCTGCATCAGGTGGGTGAAGAGTCAGTACAGCGTACAAGGAAAGGAAAAAAAATGAGAAAATGAGCTCTCCACCAATTTTCTCGCTGCTTCTTTTGAACTCAAATCAGAGAAAAAAATAAACTCATGCATTGGATCAGGATGAGGTCCCCTGACACACCAGTCGTCAAGGCAACAGGATAGTAAAGGGAAGGCAGATGAAAACAAGGCAGTGTAACTATGAATCTGGGGCACATGCAGAGCAGGAGGAAGACTGACTGTGCTTTTATTTTCATTTCACATATTTACACTTATACTGAAATTCACACATGCAATAATTTTGGTTATTTTTAGGTATGTTTGTTTGAATAGTTAAAGTATGAATGAATAATTTTCACATGGTTACTTAAGCCTTTTTACATAATGATTATTTAGATGATTTTATGTTTGTAGCCCTCGCAGGATGAACTTTTTTTTATTTAGTGTAACTTCTTCCAAAGTCGACATTTCAGTATTGTTGCATTTTATAAATCCTAAACAAAAACAGCATATATTGTTATTTACAAGGGATTGCATTGCAGGGATTTTGTTTGGCTGACAACAAATTGTCTAAACCCTAAACTCAAAACACTGTTTTTATTGCACATATCTAAGTTCTATTTCGTCTAGTCTTAGCCCTTAAGCTAGCTGCTATTGGAAGGATGATCTCAGCATCAGCCAATCATGAAGAGCTTAAATGTACGCCCACCAATGGTGGGCACCCCTGTGGGTAAATAAGTGGAGAGACTCCACTGTTCGCCTCCGTTATCTCTTCAAGCCAAGCTTAAGAGCTTCCTTTAAAGAGCAATTATCCAAGAAGCATTCTACTCACCTACCATGTCCAGCGACGCCAGGACCTGCCTGGCCTGCCAGACGGGCTCCATCTCCAGCGGCGACCTGCACGCCAAGTGTGAGGTCTGTCTCGGGGCTCATGACACTGGCCTGGCCTTGACCCCCCAGGCCTCGTGCCCGTTTTGTGCCGCTCTGCCCGTGGCTGAAAAGGCCCGCCGGGTCGAGGACTTCACCCCAGGGCCGGAGTGGGACACATTTTCAGCCCTGGAGTTTCAGACCCCAGACCGGCCCACTTAACGAATTATTATTAAAATCATGTTAGAACTTTATATGTATAGTCTACAAAAGCACACTACTCGGTAAAGCCTTGTAATTGTAAAGCAAGAAAGAGTTGAAAGAGTTGAGTTGCTTTACAAGAAAGAGCAACTCTTTCTTGTAAAGCAAGAAAGAGTTGCTTTACAATGTAGGTTTATTTGAACATCAGTGCACATCTCCAACATTGTTCTTTACAGCACATTCTCTAACAATATAACAATCTACATTCTGTTCAAACAGCTGTTCTGAGATTTTCAAACCTTTAAAATGAAATGACTCAGCACTCCCTTTCACACTTTTTCCAGTTTCCCTAGACTCACCTGCACACAATTAAAATAATCATCTGTAAAGCTTTAGCACATTTGATATGGAAAACACATCTTTGTAACCAATTAAAATATTTTCTATGGCAAAATATGCAGGCTTATTTCATTTTACTTTCATTCTAATAGCTATCTGTTGTGGGCTTTGTGCCCAAAATACAACAGGTCACTACTATTATTTGGAAATTAAAATTATTATAATGAAACTGATGTTTGCGCATGAGTTGGCTCACCTTCTATCCCAACAGGAGCAATACCCTCACTGCTGGCTCCTGGCTCTTCTTCTGACACTACATTGTGTGAAAATGGTCACAATTCAGCATTCATTTTCCTTTTTTACACGCTTTCTGATCAATGCTGAATCATCTATTATAGAGCCAGGATAGTTTTCATCATATAAATTTTAATAATATTCAGTTCACTGACTCAATAAGTAATCCTACCTGTACATGCCCGCTCTGGAATTGTGGGCTTCTGCCTGGTGCTTATTAGGCCTACTGGATCTTGTGTTTGACTCTGACAAGACAGTTTGGTGGCATCAGTCACATCATACTGTAAATTATATTACACAACGTTATGTCATGATGCCATATAATTCATTATTGATGCTTAATTAACTTGAATGGTGATTTGCAGCCGGTAAAGTTTAACATCTTGACTTGCCTTACCCGTTTTATCTTCATTTGAAGTTAAAGACCGCGAGCTTGTTTGAGAAAAAAAAGGTGCTCATTTTTGCACATTTAGCTGCATCCAGGGCCAGATTAAGACTTCGTTGTACCCTGGGCAACAATATTCAAGGGCCCCATCATCACGACCCAAGGATCACCATAATATGGTCACATACAGGATATATTACTGTAATATGCAGTAAAAATACTCAATACTTGAATGCCTACCATCACGTAACCCGCTCAGGGTAACCTTTGACCCACCTTGTGTGGACTGACCAATGAGGAGAGGGTCTTAACTTGAGGCCCTCTCTTCATTGGTCAGTCTGCATGAGACTGACTCTCAACTGACGTTCAGTCATAGGCAGCGAAGCGTCTCTGTGCAGCGCAAAAGCCCGGGTGGACAGTTTGTTGAATATAGGGTGATCACATTTCCATTTCCAAACAAGAGGACAGGGGATCTGTGCCTATGAAGTCACACTATGGCAACGCCACACAAACCACGCTGGGACCCATTTTTTTGTAAGAACTAAATTAATATCAGATTCTGCCAATAAAAGGGCTCTAAAACAATTCATATTTAAATATTTAGCATATGTATTGGAAAATCTAATTTTTCTGCTTTAGTGCTGCAACAAGGTTTTAATAATAATAAATTATTATACTGTTTGTTTTACTTCAGCATTGGTAAGCTTCCTGTGCACAGATTATTAAGGGTGCTTGTTTCAGCTGTGAGATTAGACGATAGGATCAATGAAAAAATAAGTTGTCCCACACTCCATGGAAACTTTCAGAGAATCCACAAATAGTGGCTTTCAGATGGTTTTGTTACTTTTTGCAAGTTTAGAAAAGAAGCAGATGAGACAGCATGTCTGATAATTTAGTTTTTCATCTGATAATATTAGAACATGTCAGTAATGTCTGAGGAGCTTTTATAAACACTGTATAACTAATGCTCCTGGAGAGGGTGTGAATTACACAGAGGCTTCTGGGGAGCCCAGTTATGGGGGGGGGGGGGTTCATTTTGCCTTGGCCCCCAAAATGTCTTGAAACGGCCCTGGGTGTTTGACTGAGTTTTGAAGGTGATTTGAATTGTATCAGATGTATAAATATTACATGTGTATAACTTATTGTTTTATACAGGTAGAAACACGTAGTGGAGATAAATCTACCTACATTTTACTTTTCCACACTTAGTTTTGTTTTCTTGTTTTTATTTAACTATTTTCCTGTCCTGTCTGTCTCTCATCTTCCTGCGTCTCCTCTAAACTCTCCAGAAAAAACTGCTGCCAGGATTCTTACTTTTTCACCTCATCAGTTACTTTTGAGCAGATCAAATGGATCTCCTGACCGCAAAGCGGAGTGCGCCTTTCGATGCTGCGTCAGTGAGGTGAAATCACCGCAGCACCGCGCAGCACAAGTGATGAGCTGCGCAGCAGCAGAGCGCTTCAGGCACAAATAAGACAGAAAATAGAGAATATGTGCGGACATGAATGATCGTGTGCTAATTATAGTTTTTTGGTTGCGCCACTTTGAGAATGGACCGTGCGCTGGACGCAGCTGCCTGGAGCGCTGCGCAAGAACGCGCTGTGCCGCTCTCTGTGCTCTCTGCTCAGAAGAGTCCACAAATGATGTAATATAGATAGAAAACTTGTTTCCGGCTCCCCTGGATGTGTAAGATATACAGCTCCCCCATAATTCGATCCCTGCTCCTGGATGAAAAGCCGGACATTTTCATCAATACGACCGCGGACCCCCAGTCCGGACGCCCGGACAGAGAGTGAAAAGTGGACATGTCCGGGGAAAACCGGACATACGGTCACCCTAGTTTAATATAAAGCAGGAGATTACAGACATGCCTACAGTATTTTGCTCGTGCGCTTGCTGCCCTGGGCCCCTTAGAGTTCGTGGGCCCTGGTCAATTGCCCAGTTGCCCATATGGTTAATCCGGCCTTGGCTGCATCTGTTTCCAACGCTTTCCTCTTTTTAATTCTTGCCTTCTCCGCGCCACCCTTGCTCTTTCTACTTTCCATCTTTCCGTCAACTGCGTGGTCACGTGGTGCGCACAGGCGCATACGGGGGAAAAAAACGAGCTGCAGCCTGCAGGTAGATCCAGCCAGAGACAGCCGGGAGGAGCGTATGTGATCAGCCCGGCGGCCTCAGTGCCATGACTGAACACCGGCACCAAAAAATAAAAATAAAATGATAAAAAACAAAAACGAGAGCACCGGCCCATGCGGCCCAAACATCGCGCGGCCCACCGGGAATTCTCCAGACCCTCCCGATTAGCCACTCCGGGCCTGCTTCACCCCCACCGCCGATGAGAAATTTCCGGTGGCTGAAATGTACTCGATGGACAAGGCCTTAAAGTTCTTCGACGTCGGCCAGGAGCCGGCTGGCTTCAACCGACTGGACGATGTCATCGACAGTGAGGAGTACGACGAGGCTGGCTGCCATAGCCCTTCTTCCCTCCTGGACAACACGGAGGTTGAAGAGCCTCGCTCAGCGGGTCCTTCTGCTCCAGTTACTTCTCGCTCCTCCCTGCCAGCAGTTAGAGCACTGCTCCAGGAGCTGCCTGCCATCATCTCCGCGGCTGTGGTCTGCACGGGGCTAGCCGTGCCAGAGCCGGCTCCGCCTGAAGCAGATGATTTGGCGGGAATTTTCGGGGAAACACAGACGCGCTGTCCAGACCCAATCTGGCTGCGCTTCCCCGTTGCCATGAGCTGCTGGTCCGCCGCCTTCTCCGAGCCTGCTAAGCTCAAGGCGCCAATTTCCACATATGTGCCCATTACCAAGGTCGAGGGCTTCTCCGACCAAGGCTGGCCATCCGTTCCTCCACTGGAGCCGGACTTGGCCTCACTGTTTGGTGCCAAGAACCACCTCGCTG